CATTGCACATGCTTCACACGAGGTGCCTCATCTGGTGGAGGTCTCTTTGGGGCTTCATCGAGCAGCTCTGGCACAAGCACCTTTGCCGGGAGTCAGTAGCCAAGAAGTTTCAACATGTGCTGAGCAAATGGCAGAGCATTGAGCATCGAGATTGTGTGACGTTGTCAGAGCTTCGTGCGCTGGCCCCGTATTTGCTTTCCAGATGTCATTGACAAGGTGCTTCGTCTGGTGGAGGTCCCCTTGGAACTGCATCAAGCAGCTCTGGTGTCAGCCCGTTCGGTGGAAGTGACCGGCTCAGAGAAAGGAACATGCACGTGGCCGACTGACAGTAGTGGCAGCTCATTAGCTCCCTGGCTTGCTTCGCACAAGGTGCCCCATCTGGTGGAAGTCTCTTCGGGGGCTCATCCCATGGCTCCACTGCAAGCCCTTTTGGTGGAAGTCCCCCGCTCAAAGAGTTGGAGAAGTGCGAAGGTGTCAGCTTTCATGGCAGCACACTTCAACAACAGATCAGCAGCCGAACATGCTTGTGGCATCTTGGTGCAAGGTGCTGCATCCAGCGGAGGTGCCTTCAATTCTCTTTTAGTGTACTGGAAGGTTGCTTCATGAACACCTCAAAGATCCCCGAAGTATGAATTAATGTTCCTCCAGCTTTGGTAGTTTGCGTCCGATTTCTGACCAAGCGCCTCTGGCCCCTGACCCAGCGCCTTGTGTTCCATCCATCCAGCTTCAGCACTAGACCAGGTGCACGTGAGCCGATGGTGTTCAGACGGGCCCATGAGTGGATTTGGCAGTTCATGTGGCCGACGGGGCGACTTTAACGGTGCAGATTCGCAGGTTCAAGCGCTTCGAGCCTCTTCGGTCGTGGCCTTGAGACTGGGTGGGCGTCCGGGATGGATGAGGTCGGCAGGATTTCCAGGATCGAGGGCAAAGCGCACAGTTTGATGGGATTCGCCTTTAACCTACGTGCATGATGCACGTGTGGACTTTTGGGAGGGAAGCGGCTAACATGATTGACTCCCCAGCACTCCTACCATGCCCCATCACATCCCCGGAATTTTCAGAGGAAGGATCCACAAGGCCCGAATCTAGACAGCAAACATCAGCAACCTATCTGGACAGCATGCTCCCCACCAAACTGACTGGTGCATGGGACGGAACGAAGGAATGATTCCCCAAAAGTCCCGATTTTTCGGCCCCTTTCAATTTGGATCAAGTTCTCGTTCCGTGCGCATGGGGGGCCAGTCACCCGAAAGAGACCATTTTCCGGCCAATACCCCCTGACAATTGGTCCTCAAAGGTGTTCCGGTCGATTCCCGGGCTTGGTCGTCTGAGCGCCTTCCATTTGGAGGAGGCGCTTTATCGGGCGGTGCCGGAGTTTGTCGTTTTCTCCCCTGCATAGAGTTTCTTTGGGTTGAGCTTCTCGCAGGAACAGCTGGCTCAAGTCCTAAGTGAAGTGGCACCCAATCGCTTCAACACGACATATATATATATATACTCTCGACTAGTGACAAAGGAGTTGTAAAACGTATGGTGGGTTTTACAACTCCTTTGTCATGGGTCTTAAAGCATTTTTGAGCAATGTACACAACTCCTATGTCATGGACTTTAAAGTAGAGAAACACGTCAAAACATTGTCACACAAGAATAGCTTTAAAAAAACAGAAAGCTGCCGGAAAAGATGAATAAATGACGTGAGATAGGAGTCGTAAGTACCAGGAGGCATGATGAAACATGATGAGCAGGCCGATTCTTATGTCATTTGTTCTGTGTGCATCAATTCCCCTCCCTCCCTGAAAAAAATAAATAAAATGCTTGATCATCAGCTGGCGACAATTCCCAAGTCATGAGGCTTGAATCAGCAACTCTGCAATTTTTGTGTTCCCAATGACTTAGGAGTAGTGGGCCACAACTACTATGTCACTGGCCCACACAAGTCCTAAGTCACCGTTCGGTAGTATATATATATATATATAGAGGTTATTATAGGTTCATATCTAGTTTAGCGCGCCTGTGCGGCCAAAGACAGAGCCCAGATGAGCCCAGGTAGCCCAGATGCCTTTCGCTCGACTTTTCCGCGGGGTTTTGCGCAAAACCATCCAAAAACCCTTGGCGCCCGGTGGTGAGGTGGACTTGGAGAGAGCCTGTCAGGAGCGTTTGGAGGGAGCCCGGAGCTCAAAGCGCAGCGTGGCAGGGCTTCCAGGTGGACGTGGAAGAAACGCCTTTGGTTGAACAAAGGATTTTCGGACAGCTTGGCAACTAATACTAAAGTCGAGGGGTGGAGGCAAGTCGCAGGGTGTAGTGTGTGCCTTTACTTACCTCTACTAGTGCAGTGCCACACACGAATTCTGGAAGAGTGCACTTATCAGCCAGCCAACCCTGCAGGCCAGAGAAAGGCTCAGCATAGCTCAGCATCTCCTCAAAGTATTCTCCTTTCTTGCATGTTTTGCAACTTCACCTGATCAGGCTCTTCCAGCTCTGCAGGCCTCTTTGGCTCGGGCGCCTTAGCGGATGGAGAGTTGTTTGTGTTTTAAAGGTGGCTTCATCCGAACGTGCGCGTGGCACCCTGAAAGCTTCGAAGGACGCAGTATACGCAATATACGCCAGCTTTCCGTCGCCTTGTGATTGTTCAGGTGGGTCCACGGGCGGATCTTTGTCTGGCGCATTTGGAAGACTGGGGAACCCAGAATTGCCCAGACCACGGCCATTTGGGCAAGAGAGCACATCTCGACTCAAAGTCAAGTGTGGTTGACCTTCACTCAGGCTCTTCCAGCTCTACAGGCCTCTTTGGCTTGGGCGCCCTAGCGGATGCTGGGAGCGGTGTTCCGGGTGTTCTTGGAGCGAAATTGCTCCTCCTACACCTCACAGAAATAGAAGTATCGAGTCCAAGTCCAAGTATATGATAACATATGTATGATGCTCGTTTCGTGGTGATGTCCTTCCATTCCAAAGGTCAGGTCTGGTATTTACATGTATTTACCTCATAGATGTGTCACTTTCAACTGTCTTACTGTCTGGATTTCCCGCGAGTGGGACCGTGGCTCAGGTGGCTCAGGTGGCTCCGGATCGGTGGCTTCGTTCGGGAGTGAGGGGCTCGGAGACGGGGTTAGGGGCAGTTAGGAGGGGTTAGGGGGGGGTTAGGGGCCCTAACCCCTAAGGAAGAGCAGAGGAATGGGCTGAAAGTGAGTGCGGGCTGGCACTTGCCAGTTTCACGTGCTGATGGCAAAGGTTTGTCACGGCTCGACGAGTTTTAGGTGTGCGTTTGAAGTTGTTCGCCTGGGCCACTGACTCCTCGCTTGCCTCGGTCGCTCGCTTGCGCGCTGTTGTTTCACGCTAGGATGTCGTATACATGTCTCACTTTACTACCGTTTGGCTCAAGGAAAACCAGGTGCGACTTGTTGGTAGTTATCGGTCGTTTACCTGTATCTACAGGTTATCAGCCGTATCGCCATAAGTGCGGTACGTGCTTTCTACTGGCTGTGGTCTTACCCCACCCTAGGTAGTGCACTATCTAGAGGCCATGGCTGATGATGATGGTTCCCGTGGTGACCGCTCACGATCAGGCTACGTTCCTACTTCGCCTGCGATGTCCAGTTCACCTGCTGCTGATCTCCCTGTTGTTCCGCTGGAGTTGCGTGTACCAGTTGTGCCACCAACGTTCAGTGCACAGGGGGACCTGTTGCCTAGTGGTCAAGCACCATCGCCGTTTCAACCTGAGTTTTCTCCTGTGATGAATGTCCAGAACGTTGATGCGAGACAGATCCATCAACAAGCAGTCTTCGTCA